GTTGGTTACTTTGTCTTTGATGCGTGAGAGTTGGGTCATGTGAGAGGGTGATGTCTGGTGAACGAGGCCCTGTCACGCGGTGGAGCTGAGGTCATGAGTTTGGGCTACAGGAGGAGGACACCCACCTCTTGCCGGGGGTTAAAGCTGGATGTCCCACGCCCAGGCACGCCGGCGTTGACCACCTTGCGTTCTCCTCTCCTCCCGCAGTGACGTCTCCATGCAAGATCCTCAAGTGCAACTCTGAGTTCTGGGCGGCCACGTCGGGCTCCCACCACCTGGGCGTGGAGGAGGCGCCGGAATTCTGCACGGCGCTGCGCGCCTACGCGCACTGCACCCGCCGCACCGCCCGCACGTGCCGCGGCGACCTGGCCTACCACTCCGCCGTGCATGGCATAGACGATCTCATGGTGCAGCACAACTGCTCCAAGGATGGCCCCACGTCCCAGCCCCGACTCCGGACATTGCCCCCCGGGGACAGCCAGGAGCGGTCCGACAGCCCCGAGATCTGCCACTACGAGAAGAGCTTCCACAAACACTCGGCTGCCCCCAACTATACCCACTGCGGGCTCTTCGGGGACCCCCACCTCAGGACTTTCACGGACACTTTCCAGACCTGCAAGGTGCAAGGGGCTTGGCCACTCATAGACAATAACTACCTGAATGTCCAGGTCACCAACACGCCAGTGCTGCCTGGCTCCACGGCCACTGCCACCAGCAAGGTGAGCCTTGAGCATGTCCTCGTGAGCAGAGGTGGGCGAGGGCAGAGGTCCTTCTCAACAGCCTTTCTTTCCACTGTCTCTCTCGTCCACCATTTGCACGTCTGTCTGGGGAGGGTAAGGCTGGGTGGGAGCTCCACTGAACTTGAGCGTTTGGCCCTGAACATAGAATCATAGAATCATTAAGGTTGGAAAAGACCTTTAAGATCATGAAGTCCGACCATCAGCCCATCACCACCGTGCCTACATCAGACACCCGTGCTTCCTCTGTCCCCACCTTGGCTTAAATGGCCTGTGGTTTCTTCCTGAGCACATCCAGCCCCATCACGGTTAGCAGGCTGAGATGCTGCAGCTCAGGGGGCGATCATGGCCATAGTTGAGGATGGCAAATTAAGAGGGCTCTCACCTGAGGGCCTCCAGGTTGCTATGAATAGCCAGACCAGGGATGATGATGACACCTTTTGGGAGACAAGCAAGGTCCGAGCAAACCCAGGACTGCCTTGCAGGAAGGCTTCAGCTTGCAGGGAAAAGCCTGGAGGGAGCTGAGCTCCTCGCCCTGCCTTCCCCGCTGTCCAGGCTCGTAATTGTCTCTGTGGTTTGCAGCCGAGTCAAGGCATTTTGTGAGGCACAGTCTTTTTCTGGTGGTGCTTGGACAGCTTAAATAAACATGCTGAAGGTACAGGGTGAACACTGAGAAAACCCAAGTGAAAATGTGCTGCTGTGATCCAGTGTCTTGTGTGACATGGCTTCGGCTTCAGGAGAGACCCGGAGCTGCTGAACTGTCGTGTTGCTCTGCGGTGCTCAAGCTGCAAAGCTAACAAATGGGCCACTTTCTGTGCCAAGAAATTGAAGGCTTAGCAGGAGGCATCTTCTTGCTTTTGGAAGATGTCCTGTCCCTTCGTGTCTGGGAGGTCTGCTTCTCCCTGCGTGTGGGGAGAGGAGAGAAGCACATGCAGGACGGGGACTGCTGCTCAGCTCTGGATGTGACCTTTTCAGCCTGAGCTGGGGCTGGCTTTTTGATTTTGACCTGTCCTTTAATAAACCTCATTAAAGATAATTAACGATGCTCTCAACTCCTTGGCTACCAAAAGACATCAAAACCTGCTGAAGCTTGCAAGGAAGTCTGACTTGAGGGAAGTGGTCCTTAAGGGCCCCAGGGACCTGCAATTTCTAGGCTGGATCCCAGGATCACCATCTTAATTGAGCCTTTTCACCCCTTATCTGCCTCATGGGCTTGTGGTGAGGAGGGCTTAGTCATGAGACCTGCAGCATGAGCTGTGGAAAGCCTTACTGGGTTGTTGCTGGAGCACCATGTGCTGCTGGAAAGCATGGGAGTCTCTTGGTCCATGGGGCTCTTTGTGTTTTTGCAGGATGTTCTCTGGTCTACTCTTACTCCTCCAGCCAGAGGCAGGGCTGCATCCAGAGGAGGTAGCAGGATGTCCATGCGAGGGGTAGTGCAGCCTGAAACCCAGGGCATGGTGGTGCCTCGTGACATGGCTGAGGAGTGGACAGCAGGGCTGGGAGCATCTGGGCACTCCGCAGAGGAGTGGGTGGGAGAGAGGGACATTGCCAGGGCTCTGGGCAGCTCTGGGCTCCTCGCCAGCACCACTGGGAGCAGAGGTGCTGGGAGCCAGCACTGTGCTCAGCGCAGCCCTTGGGGAACCTCAGTTTTTCCCTTCTTCATGCTCAGCCCTCGGGCATACCTGCCCTGTAGCTGCTGGAGCCATCTCTCCTCCAGCCCTGACCTGCTCTGGTCAGGTCTCGGTCTGTCCCTTCATGGGCAGGAGGTCCCCCTTACTGCTCCTCCCTCATGGGAAGAGGTGCACGAGGAGGAGCAAGTCTGCAAGAGGTGAAAGAGGAAGTGAAGTTTGCATGGGAAGAAGAGCAACTTGCTCTTCTTCCCATGCAAATCCTATTCTTCCTCCTCTTCATCAAGCCTTGCCGCCAAAGCCAGGTCAGCAAGGGAAGAACAAGTGCTGTGAGGTCCTTCCTCCGGCAAGGGACCCGTGTTTGGGCCCAGCCGAGGGTGGGGAGCCGTGTTGGGCTCAGTCTACATCTGTATCATCCCTAGAAGGCCTGTCCACTCGAACGTGCTGGACATGTGTGTGTTTGCGTGGTTGAGATGGAGCACAACGTGTTCTGGGGCCCAGAGGAGAAGACTCTGTTGGTCTGTGAGTGGCCAGGGAAATGAAGAGGTCCAGCCCTTGGGATGTGAATGCCCTGGGAGCCAGAAGAGAAGCTTCACCACCTCAGAGAGAGTCAGGGCTCCCCCCCCCGTCATCTTCTTCTACCAAGTAACTAGCGATAGGATGAGAAGAAGTGGCCTCAGGTTGCATCAGGGAAGGTTTAGATTGGATACGGGAGACAATTTCGTTACTGAAAGAGTTGTGAAGCACTGGAACAGGCTGTCCACGGAAGTGGTGGAGTCCCCATCCCTGGAGGTGTTCAAACGTGTAGATGTGGCACTTCAGGACATGGTTTAGTAGGCTTGGTGGTGTTGAGTTGACAGTTGGACTTGATGGTTTTAGAGGTCTTCTTCAGCCTTAATGATTCTATGATCTGCCAGGGCCTGGAGGCAAGACAGTGCTGCGTGCGCAGGCATTCTGCCACAGGCATGTGAGTAGCGATACTCCAACTAGCTCCAGCTACAAGGGAGCTCCTGTGCTGGGCCTGGAGATAACAGCACATATCCAGGTGGTACGTTCTGTCCAGCTTCTGGATCTTGACTCCATACACGGTGTCCTCATCCCTGTGCTAAAGCAGGATGGCCATGTCTCGCTGCCTAGAAGTTGGGGCAACTTCTTAGGAGGAGGCACGTGCCCGTGAGCTGAAGGCCACGCTCCTGGCCAGGCTGAGCAGCCAGCTCCTACACCTCCCGTGCCACTCGTGGTGGTGGCCGTGTGCCTGCAGGTGGTCATCACTGGTTGTAACCCTGTTCCTTTCTTTTCTCCCCACAGCTCACCATCATCTTCAAGAGCTTCCAGGAGTGTGTGGACCAGAAAGTGTACCAGGCAGAGATGGACGAGCTCCCCGCTGCCTTTGCTGACGGCTCCAAGAACGGTGGGGACAAGCATGGAGCCAACAGCCTGAAGATCACTGAGAAGGTGTCGGGCCAACACATCGAGATCCAGGCAAAGTACATTGGCACCACCATCGTGGTGAGGCAGGTGGGCCGGTACCTCACCTTCGCCGTACGCATGCCGGAGGAGGTGGTCAATGCTGTGGAGGACCGGGACAGTCAGGGCCTCTACCTGTGCCTCCGCGGTTGTCCGCTCAACCAACAGATTGACTTCCAGACCATCCGCTCGGCTCAGGCCACTGAGGGTCGTGCCCGTAGGAAGGGACCGAGCCTGCCGGCCCCTATGAAACGGCCACGGCCAAGTGCAGGGAGAAGCTGCCCGTGGAGGACCTCTACTTCCAGTCCTGCGTCTTTGACCTCCTCACCACAGGAGATGTCAACTTCATGCTGGCTGCTTACTATGCCTTTGAGGATGTGAAGATGCTTCACTCCAACAAAGACAAGCTGCACCTCTATGAAAGGACACGGGACCTGGCCCCGGGCAACACGGCCGCCCCGGGACCGCCCCCTGCCCTCTGGGTAGCACTGCTGTGTTTGAGTCAGTGTTGGTTGGGCTTCTTATAGAGGTTTGCTCCTTCGCACTGTGGAGAGCGAGGAAAGGGGAGCAGGAGAGGACCATGGATGAGGTGGTGGCACTGGACAGTGGGAGGTTGGATATCAGAGCCACATGGGTTGTCCTCAGATCTCAGCCCCTCTCTTTGGCACCAGGTCCTCCATCTTCCCCAGCTCTCGTCTGGGAGGAACGTGCTGCCAGTGGGACCAGTCAGGAGTTTTTGCTGGACTGTACCTTGTCTGGACCTTCCTCACCTCCCCCTCTCCTCCTCCTCTTCCCAGTAGTGTGGATGCTGGGGAGCCCCCACCTCCTTGTAGCTCTACCCCAGGTCCCATACATGCACGTGGTGACTGTGACATTGGCGTGCATGAACGTGGCTTTGTCTTTGGAGAGCAGAGCCCACAAGGAGGGTGTAGAGCAGCACAACGGGGCTGGGCTTTCTGCTTGCTGGGGTCGTGCTCTGTTTTTGAGGTACAGCCCACTCTGCCGGCAGCCCCGTTGTTGCAGAAAGTGATGCAAGGGGTTGAAATGGTAGGGATGGTCCCATCCTTGCCCAGCTGCTGGTGCCAGGCATCTTCTGAGTGGAAGGAGGACGTGTTCCTCAAGCCTCATGTTACGTTTGCTGTGATTCAAAGGGCATCTCCTATTTTAGCCAGTTCATTTGGCTGACTCACTCCATAGTTTTATTCCTGGCTCCCTTGTCTTTGCCTGGAGCCACCGAGGACTCTTGATGGCAACAGGAGAAACCTGGCCAGTATTCAAGCAGTTTCTGCAGTTTCTGCCCAGCGTTGGATGAGTTCCTCGCACCGTGTGCTCTCCAGTCTCCTAGAACTGGCAGCGGGGAGGCTGCTCAGTGGGAGACCCGATCCGCACCTCCCTCCAGCCCTGCACCCAGTTGCCTGCCCACACCTTGGCCAGGCCCTGGGATGGAGCAGGAGCGTCGCGCTCTGTTTGTTTGCTGCTAGGTCTCTGCTCTGCTCCTCGTCCTGGGGCCGTGACTTGCAACCCCATTGCAGACCAGTCGCACCTTAAGCCCTTCTGGGCTTGAATCAAAAATGGGGCAATGTTAGAAATCCAGCCAGGAGACGGGATGCAGCAGAGGGCCCCTCAACTGCCCCCAAATGTTTGTTCTCTGTCTTGAAACCATTGATAATCTCCTTCCCCCACTATGTAGTGCTGCCCATCTCCTCCTCTCCATGTTCCTCTGTGTTTCACCTCATCGCTCACTGAACAAACAGCAAGACCACCTTTGGTCTGAGTCTTTGAGACCTCTTGATGGGTTTCCCCTCTTTGCCTCAGAGGGAACTTCCCAGAAACCAAAACATGTGTCACTCTTGGGGGCATCTCCTGCTCTCAAGGAAGGTTTCTGGGCACGATGAGACAAGCTAGCACCAAAAGAGGTGGGAACAGGCTACTTTTGGCATGTCTGAACTGGTGCCAAGAGGCAGCCTGGTGTAAATACTCAACGTGACTATTCATTGTGTCCTAACAGCTCTAGAGCTCCATTTGTAAAGCAGCAGAGAAATGCAAAATTGTGTCAATGGATGTAATTTATATTGTCTCTTTAATATATAGAGCCCTGGCATTGATCTCGTGTGACTGTACAGATGAAGAGATGTAATTGGTTTGTAAATGTTTAAGGAAAGAAAAGAAACAAAAAGATGTGTTTACTACTTTGCTCCTTGCTTTGTTTGCTGGTGCCCCAGGTGTTCTGTTTAGGGAGATCTGGAAATCAGGCCATCACAGATTGGAGGTGCGGAGGAGAGCAGCCACTGGACCGTGACCCAGGACACTTTGGCTTCCCAGTGCACTAACTGGTCAGCCAGGCTGATTCGGGCTTTTTGTTTCCTTTGTTAAAGAAAGAACCAAGTTTTTGTCTTCCTTAGAAATTCAAAACACAAGTTTTGAAAGTCAAAATTTATCACCGGGTAAGAGGAAACTTATTTTTTCTTGCCCGTATATCAGCAGCGGCCGTGCAAAGCATCCCTCCGAAGACACGGAGCTTCTTGAAAGCAGTCGTAGCTGGCCAAGCCCCAGCGTGCCAGCAAGACCG